AGACACATAGATCAATGGAACAGAATAGAGAACCCAGAAACGGACCCTCAACTCTATGGTCAACTAATCTTTGACAAAGCAGGAAAGAATGTCCAATGGAAAAAAGAGTCTCTTTAACAAATGGTGTTGGGAAAACTGGACAGCCACATGCAGAAGAATGAAACTGGACCATTTCTTTACACTGTACACAAAAATAGACTCAAAATGGCTGAAAGACCTAAATGTGAGACAGGAATCCATCAAAATCCTAGAGGAGAACACAGACAGCAACCTCTGTGACCTCAGCCGCAGCAACTTCTTGCTAGACATGTCTCCAAAGACAAGGGACACAAGGGCAAAAATGAACTATTGGGACTTCATCAAGATAAAAAGCTTTTTGCACAGCAAAGCAAACAGTTGACAAAACCAAAAGACAACTGACAGAATGGGAGAAGATATTTGCAAATGTCTTATCAGATAAAGGGCTAGTATCCAAAATCTATAAAGAACTTATCAAACTCAACACCCAAAGAACAAATAATCCAATCAAGAAATGGACAGAAGACATGAACAGACCTTTCTCCAAAGAAAACATACGGATGGCCAACAGACACATGAAAAAATGTTCAACATCCCTCGGCATCAGGGAAATCCAAATCAAAACCACAATGAGATACCACCTCACACCAGTCAGAATGGCTAAAATTAACAAGTCAGGAAATGACAGATGTTGGCAAGGATGCGGAGAAAAGGGACCCCTCCTACACTGTTGGTGGGAATGCAAGCTGGAGCAGCCATTCTGGAAAACAGTGTGGAGATTCCTCAAAAAGTTGAAAAGAGAGCTACCGTACGACCCAGCAATTGCACTACTGGGTATTTACCCCAAAGATACAAATGTGGTGATCCGAAGGGGCACGTGCATCCCAATGTTTATGGCAGCAATGTCCACAATAGCCCAACTGTGGAAAGAACCGAGATGTCCATCGACAGATGAGTGGATAAAGAAGATGTGATATATATATCACACACACACACACACACACACACACACACACACACAGGAATACTACTCAGCCATCAACAAAAATAAAATCTTGCCATTTGTAACAACGTGGTTGGAACCAGAGGGTATTATGCTAAGAGAAATAAGTCAATCAGAGAAAGACAAGTATCATATGATCTCACTCATATGTGGAATTTTAGAAACAAAACAGAGGATCATAGGGAAGAGAGGAAAAAATAAAACAAGATGAAATCAGAGAGGGAGACAAACCATAAGAGTTTTAATCATAGGAAACAAACTGAGGGTTGCTGGAGGGAAGGGAGGTGGGGGTATGGGGTAACTGGGGGATGGACATTAAGGAGGGCATGTGATGTAATGAGCAGTGGGCATTATATAAGACTGATGAGTCACTGACCTCTACCTCTGAAAGTATTAATATGTTATATGTTAATTAATTGAACTTAAATAATAAAAAATGCTATAGCTACTTGCGGCTAAAAAAAAATGATGGGTTTGGAGCAGAATACTTTTAAATCTTTAAGTTTCTGTTCTAATGTTGTAAGTAGAGTTTACCGTCTTAGTACTTTAAAAGAGCATTGTACCATTTGAGAAAAGAAACAAGCTGGAATCCAGGGAGAACTATTTTGGGACTTAGTCTGAGGGGAGATGCAGTTTAGGTCTGGGGAATAGGTCGGAGTTCTCGGTGGGAGGTGTACGTGTTTGTGGCGGGGGAGTTGGAGAATGACAGGAGCAGCTTCCCCCACCTGGGTCACATATCTTCACAGTGAAGCGTTCTTCTATGGTAAGAAAAGTTGTGAATTTCCAGACTACCTATACATATTCAAAATAAGTTCAAAATGCATTTAATTTTAAATAAATCTTAACAAATTGTTTTTGCATCATCACTTTTAATAAACCTAACACATAAAATCTATATCTAACTGTGCAACATATGGATGGTCTTCAAGGAATCTGTGAACTCCCCAAAATTGTATGCAAAATTGTGTGCATAGGTGCATTGTTTTAGAGAGGGTCTGTGGCTTTCATCAAATTCAAACACATGACTCTAAAATAATTAAAGCCCAATGAATAGGTAATTAAAAATTGAGAAATTAGTCCCATAACAAGGACCTTTTTTCTCTCATAAAATTAGGGCTTTTAAGCATATGATTTGGACATAAATACTGACTTACATCAAGAGCCACGGACTGCTTGGCCCAAGACTTCTTCACTTGATCATACATAATTGTGTTGTTGATGCCCAGGCCACAGAAGATGACAAAAGCCTAGGAAAGAGAAAGCCCACTAATTAAAAATTGCAATAACTCATTGGTATAATCTAATATGAAAGCAAGCAGTCATCAGAAATGGGTCTGAAAATATAATTTTATTGTACACAGAGGTAGGCCTTGGGGAAATATGCACATTAAAATTCTTAATTACTATTGTCATGTAACAACTTTATAGCTCCCATTGCACATGAGAAAAAATTATTAACATAATGTCATGGTGAAGAAATGACTATAAATTTAAAAACATACTTACGGTCTTACCAAATGTGTTCTTAATTTATTTAGGTCGCGGACTGGTTTTACTACTTCCATTCCATTAAACTAAAGCACCCTCTTTTAGTGGCTAGGCTATAAAATATTTTGGTGAGGAAACCAAGTGAGCGTACCCATGAGGTAAATGTTATTAAGAGGAAGAAAGACAGATCTAGAACCAGTTAGTAAAGAAGCTGTGAGGTATTCTCTCCTAGAGAAAAAATAATCGTGGGGCTTTCATGTTGGCTACTTTGTTGGTGCAAAGTTTACAAGGATGCCTGTTCAAGGCCAACCCTTCCAGCTAGAGGACAGACTGGAATAAAGGGAAGCTTGAAAACACAAGAAAAGAGATGGCCGAACTTGCTGCAGAGCTGGCTGGTGGTCTCGTGACTGTAGACATACTCTTGACAGATTTTGGCAAGCTGCATCCAGGAGACTATTGGTGACTCAGCCCTAGCCTTTGGTTCACAAATTTATTTTCTTACCTCAAAAAGTCGTTGATCTGCATCATCAAAAGCTTTCCCGTCAAGTCTATTTAACACTTGAGCCACTCCTGTGGGAAGAGTTTGGTTGACGTGGTCATTTTTAGCACTGGCCACTGTATTACTATAATATAATAAAGCCCAGCTGACTCAATAACTCCCTTAGGTAACTTCAGACACTCAGTTTAATCCCTGGTCTTCCCATTGCCTGCTGTCGCCATGGGACAGATCTGAGGTACAGCGATACAGTCTATCTTCGAGGCTGTGATATCCAAACCGGGTCACAGTGAAGCCTGGAGTTCTACTGGGCATCAGTCTGATGCCTTGAAAATGGTTTTCAAGATGACTGTGCACAGTGACTCGGATATATCTGACAAATATACACACTCATATACACATATATGCAATTAGATGTACCACTGAGTATTAATAACTGTGTGTATATACATATGTGTGTCTACATATATTTATGTAATTTTTTATGTTTTCAATCCCGTGGAACACAGTGCTTGAGCGAGGCGGGATGATATCGTGATTAAGAACATGGGCTCTGGTGTCACACTGTCTCAGGTCACATTTCAACGCCACCATCAGCTGTTACCCTGAACAAGTTACCTAACTTTTTTAGCACTGAAAATCCTCATCTGTAAAATGGGGATTAAAATGTTCACTGTCTCAGAGGGTTATGAAGATGAAATGAGATAATGTTTGAATGTTTTAAAGCATATTGCTCCACATGGAGTGAACATTCAAGAAATGTGGGGGATTGTGGCGCAGTTAACCTTCAAAGCAAAGTTAGATCTGCTGCCCTCTACCGATGGGGTACACACACTTCTAACAAACTTAATTCCTATGTACTTCCTCTTTCCAAAGTTCATTTCCAGCGTTGTACCAGATGTTTTGGGGCAAGACTCTCAAAACATACAACTCTAACCAGAAAAACTGAACAATCTTGAAAAACATTCTCCTGTGTCCCCATTTGGTACAAACAAAAAATAGCCATAATTCTAAAGGATACCTGTGTTTTTTAAAACACCTACGTTCCCACTAGGTAAGTAAGTCATCATATGCTAGAAGACACATATAATGACGTATATAATGAAACACAAATCTTTAGCGTGTAATAGGCAAACTGCAGTCTTAATCTGGAAAGAATAACAGATGTTTACTGTTACGAATGAAAGCTAGGACCGTATTTGAGATTGCCATTGGACATCAACAGATAGCACAGAAACAGTGTTTCTTATGCACTTTCTCTTATCGCTGAACTTAAATATACTTAAAACTATACATGATGCAATTCAACACTTTGTACTAGGGGCTCGAATCCCCAACTCTTAGAACATTCTTTATGTTCATTAATGTACCAATATTTTTCTGCAAATTAAGCGAACTGATGAAAAAAATTCTGTTACAGTTCAAGTCTTGACAATATTTACAGTATACTAAATCCTCTGATAAGTAGCAGTGTCCTACAGTTTAACAGACAATGTTGGAGGGAAGCAAAGAAAGGCAAATGCACTAGTTACCTTGTGTCTCTTGGAAAAAAACCCATGTTTTAATTATGTTTCAATAATTTTAACGCCTCCACTCTTTATGACTTCTCTACTTTACCCACTGACTTCTTTCTTGGGCTTGATACTTTCCTGACAGAGGTTCTGAGGGGAGGGAAAGGAGCAAAGGAGGGAGAAAAAACTTGGAAGCTGCTTTGGCCCACAGTTCTGTTATTCTGGGTCAAGTATAACCTATTTCAGAATCATCCAGACAGAAAGATACATGCTCTGTGTATGTCTAATAATGCATGTTCTTTTTCCTTTGCATGTACTCCATGTGTAAAAGCATAGATGGAAAATACAGATGTAGTGGGAAAATCTGTATAGGAGTTAGGAGGCCTGACTTGTAATCCCGATCCTGCTACTAACATCCTGTGACTTTATTCTGGGCTTTGTGTGATTCCGCCATCCCACCTCAATTTCCCCAAGGTAAGATAGAGCTGTATTAGTTGATTTCTGAGATCCCCTCCAACTTCAGAATTATTGGTCTTTGGTTAAAAGAATAAATCTTTGTTCATTGTTCCGGTTAATGTCAATTCATCAGGAGTCTGCACTTATGAAATTACATGAAAGAATGAAACATAGGTCGATGAGTCCTGGACATAAAGAGGGGAGCAGGTATCACTTCTTGGCCTTTTTGCTAAGATCAAGTGTAAAAAAGATATGGTGTATTTTAAAGTAAATTTGTCTTTCTTTAGACAAGAAGGTTGCACTGGGGCACCTGGGTGGCACAGTCGGTTAAGCATCCAACTCTTGGTTTCGGCTCAGGTCGTGATCTCAGGGCCATGAGACTGAGCCTTGCATCGGCTCCACGCTCAGCATGGAGTCTGTGTAAGTTTCTCTCTCCCTCTGCCCCTCACCCGCCCCCCCAAATGAAAAAAAAATGAAAAAAGAAAAAGAACTTTAAACTATTTAGGTAATACCTTACCAATTATTTGGTGGTTGCTATTCCAAATAGGGACGCAGAGAACAGATCTTATATGAAACCCTGATATCTGGTCAGCCTAGGATAAGAGAAAGTAATTAATTAAAATTAAACATTATTTACCCATTTCTGACTTACAGCTTACCACTCTTCATAACAGACATTTAAAAATAGCTTTTAAAAAGACACATTATAATCTCTTTTTAAATGCAGACACTCACCTGCCTCTTTTAATTTAAAGCGTCACAATAGATATCCTAAGGAGATCAAGCCCCAACCAAATATGAATCAACCAAAAGACCCCACACCAATGCTACCTCCCCCAATCCCTGTAGCCACGGAGAGCTGGATGTAAAACTCTTGATCATGATCAAACCTCCAGACAAAAATTCTAGCAACAGGGCGCCTGGGTGGCTCAGTCGTTAAGCGTCTGCCTTCGGCTCAGGTCATGATCCCAGGTCCTGGGATCGAGTCCCACATCGGGCTCCCTGCTCGGCAGGAAGCCTGCTTCTCCCTCTCCCACTCCCCCTGCTTGTGTTCCTGCTCTCGCTATCTCTCTCTCTGTCAAATAAATAAATAAAATCTTTAAAAAAAAAAAATTCTAGCAACAGTTTCTGTTCTGAGTATTTAAAATATTTTAATTAAACTAGTGGTCAATATTTCTCTTTGTTTGGGCACATCTGTTAGTAAAAATGTTTTGAGCTTATAATGCTGCCATATGCATGTATACTTTTGATACTCTTTCTATATATATATATATATACACACATATATATATTTATACATATATATATATTTTTTAATTTTATTATGTTATGTTAGTCACCATACAATACATTATTAGTTTTTGATGTGGTGATCCACGATCCATTGCTTTCCTATAACACCCAGTGCTCCATGCAGTACGTGCCCTCCTTCATACCCATCACCGGGCTAACCAATCTCCCCTCCCCCCTCCCCTCTAAAACCCTGTTTGTTTCTCAGGTCCATAGTCTCTCATGGTTCATCTCTCCCTCAGATTTCCTCCCCCTTCATTTTTCCCTTCCTTCTCCTAATGTCCTCCATGCTATTCCTTATGTTCCACAAATAAGTGAAACCATGGTAATTGACTTTCTCTGCTTGACTTATTTCACTTAGCATAATCTCCTCCAGTCCCATCCATGTTGATGTAAAAGTTGGGTATTCATCCTTTCTGATGGCTGAGTAATATTCCATTGTATATATGGACCACATCTTTTTCCATTCATCTGTTGAAGGGCATCTCGGCTCTTTACAGTTTGGCTATTGCGGACATTGCTGCTATGAACATTGGGGTGCATATGGCCCTTCTTTTCACTACATCTGTGTCTTTGGGGTAAATACCCAGTAGTGCAATTGCTGGGTCATAGGGTAGCTCTATTTTTAAATTTTTGAGGAACCTCCACACTGTTTTCCAAAGTGGCTGTACCAACTTGCATTCCCACCAACAAATGTTGGAGAGGTTGTGGAGAAAGGGGAACCCTCTTACATATATTTTTTTTTAAGAGAGAGAGATTGAGCACACCTGAGTGGGGGTAGGAGGGTGGGGAGAGGGAGAGAGATTCTTAAGCAGGCTCCATGCCCAGTGGGGCTCGATCTCATGACCCTGAGATCATGACCTGAGCCAAAATCAAGAGTCAGACGCTTAACCGACTGAGCCACCTAGGTGCCCCAATACTCTATATTTTTAACATCACTAATTTACTATATATATTATAAAATCATATACAAAAAGTTGAAGTTGCAAAAATATATGATAAATGTAGAGGTTCAGAGATCTTCTTTCTATACCCTAGCAGACTGTCAGATGATATATTTAAAATAGGAAGATATAATTACTAGGATCAAAAACCATCATTCAGTAATAAGCTCCACTTAATATTAAAACCAATGGTCCATATCTAACTGTTAGGTAAGAGCTACTAAAGACTGATAGGGTGTTGGTGAGTTCATATGACCTTGATATCTCTTGAGAAAGGTCAACCTGTCATCCCAATACTATAGGGAAAAAAAAAAGACATCAAGGTTTTAGATCATGGTTATTGGGGAAATAAAGGTACTCTTTTTCTACCATGTTCATTGTAGAAATTAAGTGCTACATATTTTAAACATTTGAAATTGGAAGTTCATTTACACACCTAAATTTTATGTTTAGATTGTTTTGGTTTTTCTCTGAGAAATTAATTTTCCAGATATCTTCTATTCTTGATACCAGCATGTTCATTTCTTTTTTTAAAGTATTTGTTTGGTTTTGCTCAAGAAATCTTTCCCTACTCCTAGCTCATGAAGATATTCTCCAATTCTTTTCCTAGAATCTTTGTTGTTTTAGCTTTCATGTTTAGATTTGCAATCAAACTGAAAGCGATTTTCGAGAATAGTGTGAGCTAAGAGTCAAGACTCTTCTAACATATATTTATTTACCACCTCCTATGCACCAGACACATGGCTGGGTTTGGAGGATATAAAAATGAATTTAAACAGTTGTGTGAGGAGCTCACAGTGTAGTAAAAATAGAAATAGTTAAGATAAAATAAGTGTCCAAGTAAACCAATTTCAAAATACTATAGAAAAGCCAGCAACCCTTTTTAGAGAAATTAAGAGTAGCTTTAGATCCTTATAAGTGGGTCTTCAAGGACAGTAATGGCGCTGATGATGCTGAGCTAATGTTTCCTGGATGTTCAGTTCCTGTCAGGCACTGGGTTCAGCACCTTCACATGCATTATCTCATATACTTATTAAAACAACCCTGCAGGTAGGTCCTGTTCACTTCCTCCCTCTCAGATAAGACTCAGAGAGATTAACTGCTTGAAAGTGGAGAGACTGGTTCAAAGGAAGTCAGGCAATAACAAACACATCCATCAAAGTTATCTTCCGAAAGAAACAAAGTGGTTTTCTTTCTTTCCCTCCAGCTGAAGTCTGACTCAACAGCAATGCTAGTGAGCAGGAAGAGGAGGAGGTGGATTGGACAGTGGTCTGGGAGGCATCAGCTACAGACTGGGGCTAGCCGCAGCAGCGCTAGAATGTCTGGGTCTGTTTTGTTCTGCTGAGGGTCATACCCAGTGGTCGGTAGTCCCAAGCCAGCAAGGAGCAGGAGGTACGGTTGCCTCTGCCAACTCGGGGACAGCCGTAGCCCCACGCTAACCTCTCCTAGGAGATCTGCAGCAGCTGAGGCACGAGGTCGCAGTGCAAGAAGACAAGGACATGCAGTGAGTGAAGGAAACAAGGAGAGATAGCTTGAGAGGCTGGTGGTGAGGAAAAACAAACCTTAAGCTGTTTATCAGTGAAATAAGAGAGAATTTTGTTTACCAAAAATTATTATAGTTCCCCCAAAGAATTTTCTATTCTGGGGAGGTTCTCCCATCCCTGCCAAGGATAACATGGAAATTTCTGGGTTGAGGAAGAGTGGCTGGAGTTCCCTGATGTGGGGAACGCAGGAAGTCTGAGCGAAATGATTCCGAGTTCAAGTTCCAATTGGGAAGGTGGTGGAGAGAAGGAGGAGCTGAGGCACTCACCTCGGAGTCATCAGCCTCTGGTTTGGACTAAGTGAGTAAAATCATCAAGGAAGAACTTGTGCAAGGAAAAGACGAAAAGGATGAAAACTGAACCTGAGGGGACATGGTATTTTGGGCAGAATGAAGAAGGTGGGGTCAGTGCCGGGGACGAAAAAGAACTCCAAAGCTCGTAACCTCAAGGCTTTGTAGCATTTCTATTGTGTGAATACACTGCTACAACCTTTCCAGAAACAGATTTATTGATGTGCATCCAGAGTCTAAAAAGTATAAATACCCTTTGACCCATCAATTCCTGTGTCTAGAAATTTATTCTATGGTAGTTATTATAGCTGTACACAAAAGTTTACATATAAAGGAGCAAACCATAGGATTACTAATGATAATGCTATTTTAGAAATAACCTGAATACTCAACTGGAGGGATTTGGTTAAGTAAAGCATAGCACATCTATACAATGGAATATTATCCATCTAATTTAAATCATGCTATAGAAGAATATTTGTTAAACGTGGAAAATTTTAATATATTAAGTGATAACTGTGGGTGTCTGTAGGTATAAAAACACTTATCATATACATTGGAAAATCCTGGAAATATAACCACAATAGTCCCCTCTGAATTGTTTGCCTATGGGAGTTTCTGTTTCTTTACTTTTTAAATAGACTTTACTTTTTTAGAACAGTTTCAAGTTCACAGCAAAATGAGTGCAAGTACAGAGAGTTCCCATCCCCTGCCCCACAGATGCACCTCAGCCTCCCCCACTATCAACATCACTCACCGTCGTGGTACATTTGTTACAACTGATGAACCCACACTGATACATCATTATCATCCAAAGTCCCCAGTTTACATTAGGGTTCGCTCTTGATGCTGTACATTTCACAGGTTTTGACAACTGCATAATGACCTTTATCCACCATTATGGTATCATACAGAATAGTTTCACTGACCCTCAAATCCTCTCTGTTCCACCTGTTCATTCCTCCATCCCTGCTCAGCTCTGGCCACCACTTTTGTCCCCACCACCACCCCCTGCTTGACTGAGGTAGAACTGACAAAATTATAACATGGTTAATGTGTACATCATGATGATTTGTTACATGTATACATTGTGAAAGAATTCTGCCTATGGGAGTTTTTAAATTACTGTTTCTGCTTTCTAAATTTTGGATAATGAATTACTTGTAGACATGGGGTAAAGTTATTTTCTAAATAGAACTAAAGTGGAACAATAGTGTCAAATTTTGCAGAATAGTGAAATAAGATAAGCACCAAAAATGGGTTATTGAATTTAGCAGCACAGAAGGATAACTGAAGACAAAGGCAAGGCAAGAAGGGATGGGATGAGAAACAGAAGTCAAGTGGTTAGTTCTGGAGGAGAGGAAGACCACACTGAGAGAGCGGAGCTGCATTGATCCAATGCTGGAGGCTTGCGTGGGCTGAGCACAAGAGGAGAGGAGGGGCAAAAGAGAATGCTGAGAATGTCTTTTTATCATTCCCACTGCAGATGAGGGAAGGAAGTGAAAGTGGCACTAACTGGCGATGAGAA